TGCGCCACCGGGCCGGCCCAGAATTATGAAAATTTAAAAAGCTACCTAGGACTTCTTTTTCCAAATAGCCTTAGGCAGTCTCTCATCTTTATGATTGCATGGCTTCAGGGTATACACAGAAAATGTTCACAGACCTTGTCTCAAGGACTATTCTGCAATGCTACGAAGTGGGCAGGGACAGAAGGGCTCTGGTTATAGCCATTTTGCAGATAAAGTATGCTTCATGGATGGCATAGCGGGGACTGTAGCCCAGGCCTTCTGACTCTCAATCCATTATTCCGTTTCATTCTGAGATACAAATATTATCTTCTAGGTCATATATATGGCTTTATCTTAGATGTTTCAATGCCTCAGGGTTTTGGTGTCTCTTTTAGTGATAGTGTGTGTATGTGTGTGTGTGTGTGTGTGTGTGTCTCATATGCCTTTTCCTTATAGCAATGGCATAATGAGTTACTATTACCTCCAAGTAAAGAAAAGAAAGAAATATAAAATACCTGGACAAAGTCTGAATATGTTTAGAGCATGACAAGTGTAGGTTGTTTATCATTGAAGATATGTCTTAGGGATAATAAAAGAAGGTATGAGTGAAAGTTAAGAAGTCCTGGGATATCACATGGGACCAATGTTTACATGATGGTGTTGGCTCTTGGATGTGTCCTCTCTAGGATGTGCTGACTATTAGAAAATCCAAGACTTCTTTTTACTTAGATCAACATTAGGGATCTTTATCATGGGCAAGAGCCAGGCCTTGCCTCTAAGGAACTTTTAACAAAGTCTGACCATGCTAGGCATTTATAACATTTTAAAGATTACATTATTTTTTTTGTCCCCAAAAGAGTGGTGTGAGCTAGAAGGGTTTATCTTTCTCTCTCAGGCAAAGGTGATATTTGAAATATTTAGCAATGAGTACAGCAAATGACTTTGGCCAATTAGAAGAGATGTTCAGATGCTGGTTTCTAGTGCTCTAAGAGGGTTGGATACCTCCAGCTCTGCCAGGTGTTAATGTTGAAGGTGCTGGTTTGTGGAAAAGTCTGGGGGTTCCTTAGAGAAGGAAGGAAATGATGATACATGAAAGCACATTGGCATATTGAAGGGACTCAAAAGCGGGACATATTTACTTCAGAACCATGGTTATTTACCAATTAGAATGAAGGTATTTCAATATTTTAATAAACATCAATGTCATACTGGTATATGCCAACTTAATCTTAGATCTGTCTTTAGAAGAATAGGAATTTTTTTTATTGTCTCTGCAAACAATCCTTGTAAAATCCCAGGCTCCCTTAGTCGATCCTAGCATAAGAGCAATTAATTGTAAGTGAATTAGGATCACAGATATCAGTTAATATTTGTTCTGGGGAGCATGAGTCTTCTAAGATATGCTCCTCTCTTTCTCCTGAGAGTAATATCTTAGCCTCAAGTGATAATACATCAGCACAGACTGTGATATTCCCTCAACATCCAGGAGCCTCTCTGGGAATAATTGATTAAGTCACTAAATATTTATGGAATGCCTACTACTGGAAACAGTGGCAATTTAGAATTTCGGGACTCATATTCCAAATTTTAGCTCCGTGTGATTTAATAATTGAAAAGTAAACATTGTGCACCAGTAACTCTGGGAGCTATTTGTAACAGAACAGG